TTCTAAATTCATAGCTTCTATGTTTACTAAACATTCTGATATATAAAAGCTGACTTTCTTCTTTTCATTCTTTTTTCCATTATTGTAGCTTGAGAGAAGCACTTCATGATCACAGTTCAAAAATGGATAAAATTAACATGATATCTATTCCAACTGCTGGTTCTGTATAAGCAGAACCTTTTTTCATTAGATGAGACAAGTCATGCCTAAGCAAAAGTTTATTTTGCATGAAAATCTATAACCACGATGCTTTGAGTTAATAAAGCAGAACTGTGCCATTCATTGCAAGTTCAGATTAAAAAAGTTCAGCCCCAAAACTAATTTAATATAGACAAAATAAATACAATCAAAGGTCTCAAGTTAATAGTCAAATGGTCTTCGACCAATCCTTTCATGAATTAACTATGATTTTTTATTTTTGCTTTTATTAATAAATTGACCTGAATGCACTGAGATAATTCTAAATTCTCATAAAGAATTAGACCTTATTTCACTTTTTAGACCTCTTCTCCAAGACCAAGTATTTCAAGGCAAAACAAAATATAAAAGCACAAAAGAACCCAAAATGGCATCAGTACATTCTTCCCATACCCTGATTAGGAATCGGTATAGTAGCATCTGTGAAGCGAAATGCAAAGGAGAGACCATCTTCTGACCTGTAAGTCTTAAATATCAATAATTAATTATTGTTTGATTCATAAAGCAACTTTGCAAATTGCAACATACCAAAAACATAGTTCACGATGATGCTGGGAAACATTAATATATAAGAATTAGTTAGAATAGGAATCATGGAAATATTTCCTTCTAGCTTATGTACAAGTCTTGTTAGTAATTACTATATTTTCTGTTAGTAATAGAAGTTTACATTCTTTCCCTTTTCTTTTCTTTCAATTTATAAAAATACTCCTATATATAGGATTGATTGTAATAAATCATTCAGCCTAAATTTTAAGACGATGTCAGAGCTTTGGTTGTAAAAAATCAGGGACTCTAAAATTAGGGTTTCAAATTGAGCCCTAAAATTCTCTACCCTAAATTTAATTTTTTTTTTTTTTTACCAATATCTCTTAAGACATTTGCTTAATCTGGTGAACTATCCAGCTCCAACGATCTCTACCCCTAAAAAATTAAGTTGTTAAATTGCAAATCCTCATTCAATTTCATCAAGAATTTGAGAAAATTCTGAAATTATTATTAAAAAGAAAGTTCAAAAATTGCAGCTTCTTCTTCACTATACTGTTCAGTGACACTGTCTATTCGGTATTGTTCACAGGTACTATTAATGCTATTGTTCATTTAACAATTTTACCCTTGTGTGTGGTAGTAGTTGATTGTGGGTGATTTATTCTATTGGGTCTAGTTTGGTTGATTGATTGTTCCTCAAGGCCTTCTATTGCGTTGAGGTTTCTGAGGGTGTAAGTTTTTCTTCCAATATTAACCCTAGGGATCGTTAAAATATCATACCCTAGATTGTTCAACCGAAGATTTCTTGCTACAAACATTGTTGGGCTTTCTACTAGTATTTTTGATGGTTCTCAGATTTGTTGTTTTGATATTTATTGTTCTTAAATTTCTTTAGCTTTTTATTGAGCTACGACCATCCGACTATCTTCTAAGAGTTAAGCAACCCTTCATCTTGGTCGACACAACCATCTGGTATGCCTTCGGGTTATGTTCGACCATTCTACTCTACTTCCTGCTAGATAACCAATCCGTCAACCTTTCTTAGAGCTCTACAACTCTAAATCTTGGTCGACCTAGCCATCTAGTAGGCCTAACAGATCATGGGCCTCAACTGTGTTTGAAGATCTTGTGTGTGTTGTCTATATGTAGGCTTCAGCTTTTTGTTGCTGATCTTATGCTGCTCATGCATCTCAAGCAACCCTTCATGAGGACAATATAACCAAGATGACGATTAGAATTTATAGAGAGGGGAAGCTTTTACTACTCGGAGTTGCAGTCAGAGTCGAGCAATATTTTTCAAGTAGTCGGCCATTCTATAGATCACTATCCAAGTTGGGCATGTATTGATGCACCAACTTGAGGGGGAGAGTTGGAATATTAAAGTTAGAATATGAATTATGATAATATTTCCTTCTAGCTTATATTCTAATCTAGTTAGGAATTGCTACTTTCCTTTTAGGATTTTATATTCTTCCCTTATCTTTTTCTTTGATTAAGAGGATTTTTTACTCCTATATGCAGCCATGTAGGGTTGACTGAATAAGTAATAAATCATTCAACCTAAATTCTGAGTAAGTAGATCGGGAAGCATAATAAGGAATTCAAGCATATTTGGATAGTCTGACAAACTTTGAGGTCAATAATGATAGTAGATTACTAATAAAAATGAAAAGGGAAGAAAAAACTGTACAAAGAAAAGAAAAGAAAAAAGGGAAAATTTCCAAAAACAGAAAAAATAGGAAGATATAGGAACATTTTAGACACAACAATCGTGAGTATATTACTTGCCTATTATCCTTTGAGGGGGCTTTGCTTGCAAGCCTAGCAGTTTGTACAGCAGCATCTGCAGATGCAGCTTCAGGAGTCGCTCGTAAGATCTCGCATATGAGTTGTTGGCACTCACTCTATCATGTATATAGAGAAGAATTACTATAACAAGACTTTACGTGCACACAACCATAATAACAAAATATGTGATTAACTGAAAATCGTTGTGTTGAAAAGGAAATAGCAAACAGAGAGAGAAGAGACTACCTGCAATACAGTTAAGGAAAAGCCAAGGGTGTAGCCTCCAGTATCATGAGATGCGTCAGAATCAGGATTCCAGTTAATATCTGCTGCCGCTACTTTTGGCGTGTTCAAGTCAACTTGTTGCAAAGATTTCAATTCTAGAAGTTCTCCAACAATTATATGGTTCTCTGAAAAATCATTGCAATTAAAAAAGTCAAAATATTGAGAAGTCCTGTATAAAACTACATGAACTTCCACAACATAATCATTATTATCTAACCGAATATTCGAACAACAGTATCAAAGATTGAATCAAGGAGTTCCTTTGCTGCAGTTTGTGCTGTTCCGGCAGGAGACATTACTGGGGAGACGGGGCTGACTGCTAACAAAGTTCCAGCTAATGGTATCCCACTCTGACGCTTTTGTCTAGGTAATTGGTGGCTCTCCAACCGCCCTTTTAGATAGTGGAGACCTGTAAGCATATTCGAGGCAGCTTGGCCGATGCCAGTCCTTGAACAGTTAACATGATCAGCCTGAGCTTTGATCTTGGTAGTAATTATCTCATGAATTGTAGGCCGCAATCTTTGGCTGCCAAAAACAAAAGATAAGGAATTTGGACTAATATATGCAACTAAATAAAAGAGAAAATAATCCGGAAACAGAATCTGTCACAGAAAAGTTATTTATCGGACCAAACATGTATGTAACAAATAGCTTGTTGAACAGGATCATGTTTTGCTACTCCAAACCATTTGGGCAAGGAAGAGAGAGAGATTGTTTACACTCAACTAATTGTAAAAGGAAAATTCTTCATTATTGATAGAATTTATTTTACTTAAATCACAAAAGCATCCATGACCAGATAGGTTTTCTGGAAGTTTCCTAATTGAAATGGCCGAGTTTGTTAGATGACTCCAAATTGACAATGTGATGTCAAATACTATTATAACTCCTGATACATAAAGATGTTCAATTTCCAATAGCATACTATTGATATAATCCACTGCTTTTGGACAATTGTCAATTTTACGAAATGAACTAACCACTATAGATTTATGGCCATTAAAACCCGGTTTGAATCAAACAAATGATAAAAACAGTGGACATCCAACAGCTGTAAGATAGGAAACGAAGAACTCTAAGCTACTGCCTTTCAATCACTTCACAAAATCATAGATATTGCAACAGGAATGTAACTTACACAACACCTAGTTTGTCTTTCATCTTTCTCAGACATTTTCACTCTACTCGTAGTTATCCTCATTGAGGAAAAGAAAATAAAGAATCATTAGATCAATTAAATAACAAAGTTTGAAGTGAACTGAACAACTTCTCAAGCCCAACATTATATTAAATTGGAAACTTTTAATGAAAATTATTTCGTAATAGCTGAAGTAGATGTGCATTTTATTGCCATGAACCCTCCGAATTAACAAAAAAAAGCTTAAACTTGATTACATACGATATTATGGCACCAGCTGCAGCAACTTTTCCAAGCATGCAGAGGCACTCAACCATGGTCTGCAAATACTTAACATGCAGTGGAGCATCACTCTTTCTCATTGCTTCCTATATTTAAAATTAACGTATGAATTCAGCCTATTAGATAAGATAAACATGTTCAGTAAGTTTGACATAATGTTATATTTGTACAGGATCATACAACAAATTCATCAGGAGTAGAATCGGAAAGCCATATGGGAATATGAAGAGAAACAATTTTTCCATCCCTTGAAACAGTATCACCGCCATTGACCCGCATGGTATATCCATCAGATGTAGCATCGTCTAGCCCATCCATGCCAACATCCTCGTCATGGCCATCAAATGAAGAGCTGCACAAACATTTGGACAGAGAAAGGTGCTCAGAAGCATCAGATAATAAGTTTCTTAGACAATGTTCTACATCCATGTGAAACATGGCAAATTGTAACTATACTTTGACTCTCCTGTGCTGGGTAAAACGTTTGTTTATACTCATTCAAAATTTCAAACGATGAACCTAAACCAACGAAAGAGAGCCCAACAGGGATGGGAGGAACTTCTTTAAGTAATAATGATGAGCCAAAGCTAAGTCCTTATTAACAGATTTGCATATGATGACCTGTTCATTTCCCCTCCAAAGTGCAGCCCCTTTCTGTCCAATTTTGAAGAAGTAATAGAGATAAAATCAGAGAGAAGATTGAAATATATTGAGTCTATAGGTATAGGCTGTAATTCTGAAACCTAACAACAGCATGCATCTAGTAATCTGTGAAGCTTTACAGCCTTGCATAAAGCAAACACCAACACTTATTATCTAGCAATAAGAAGTAATAGATAAATCATCATAACTAAGTTTAAGCCAACGGTCTAAATACATATATTTGAAGAATTTAAGATGCATGTATATGTATAGTATGAAAAGAACGAAAAATAACTTTGGAAGTGAAAGATAAAAAATTGGAAGCAACGACCGCCAAAGGTAAAAATGCAGAGTTTCATTGAGAAATAAAATTGTGTCTAACCCTCCATCAATAGAACTAGGTCTGTAAAATCTATCTCCAGCACCAAATGTTCCAAGCTGATTGTCTCCTTTAAGCAACCTGGTTCTTCGAGAGAGAGGCTGTGAATTGTTCATAGAAAATGCAATAGCTGTGGTAGTTGGCATTGCATCATCAATTTCATTTATACTCGAGACCACTGAGCTGACACAAGGAGGGGGAGGGAAGGAATGATCAGCTTAACAAAGAAATGAAAAGAAAAATAATGCTTCCAAGATAGAAGCTTGTCCATGACAATAAATAAAAGAATATCTCTTAATGAAGAAAAAGAAAGAAAAAAATGTATGCGCCCTTCAAAAACCCAAACTGTGTGATTTTCTCACTGACTGCAAATGGGGTAAATCCCTCGTTCATATTCTTCAAAGACTAGTATGTCAAGTTATGTCATCAGATTGAAGCTCAATGAGAATACTTTGTATAGATGTAGAGCAATTAGAAAACCACCATTTTCATCCTCCCAGAATAAAATACTGGTAGATACAGAATTTAACATAAACCAGGGAAGGGACGGCTGCTAGGGTTTGCGAAATAACTATATACCTATATTCACCCTGGTAGATAGAGAATTTGATAAACCAGGGATGGGATGGCTGTTAAGGTTTGTGAAATAACTATATACGTATATTCACCCTGGTAGATACAGAATTTAACATAAACCAGGGATGGGACGGATTTTAGGGTTTGCAAAATAACTATATACCTATATTCACCCTTGTTATAGAGATGGGAGTGCAGATCCTCCAAAACCTTGTAGAAAAGCACTCCTCGCAATTTTGTCAGTTCGGACCGGACATCTTGAAGAGCACCAACCTGTGCCAATCAAGGACATTCACACAGTCAAATTCCTTTCAACGAGAAATAGAGATGGGAATTCTGGAATTAGGTGAGGAGTTTCAGAAACATTCAGTGAACAGTAAGATAGTTTCTTTCATTTACTATCAGGAGGCAGAACTTTTTCTTAAAAATAAATTCAGGTAGAGTTAATGCCCTTCCATGTAAGAAAGAGAGAATGCTTCTAGTGCTCAGATATGCTAAGGACATTGACTATTAGTTGCAAACTCAAATCGGATGTAACAGCATGAAGAGAGAACAGTACACAAAGAAATACCTCAAAATGGTGAGAGATGTAATACCCAGAAAAGAAAAAGAAAATCCCTTAACCTTAATGCTGTCCTCCATATAATGGCTGTCTATCTATTAAAATCAGTGACTGCAGAATAGAATCTGAATGTGTGACTCGAATATTTATATGACAAATCTAATGTGAAAATATATGGCATCCACTTGACAAGAAAGGCTTAGATATGAGTTACTTCCTCTCAAACCATGATGATAACTCTGAAGCTCCATCGTTGGCAATACAATAAAAATAGTGCCATTATTAAAGATTGTAGAGGTACTCTCATGTTCCCACTTCCCACACTAATTATGTTTATATGGGAGGTATTTTGCTTTCTTTTTCTCTTTTCCAATGGCAATTGCCTCCTTCATAATGTTAGATGCCTGTTATAATAACAGGGAGAAAAATAAGATGCAATTTGCACTCACAATGACTTAACGAGTTTCAACTAATATAATATCCTTAAAAGGTGCCAAGTCAACAATCTAAATCCAAGTTGTGGAGGTTGAAGAATTGAGTTGAAAGTCACTAGGTTAAATAAGACTCAAATCTACATGATTCTTCACAAAACCAGCCTTTGGATACTGAGAAAAACAAAAGGAAACAATAACAAACCGTTTGGAGCCCCTCTCTCTCAAGCATCAAACTTGATTGAAGATGCAACTGCACTGCAGCATAAAACTGCTTTTCAGCAATGAGTTTTTCAATACGGCCTGGAACCTAAGACACATTAGAAAGAGACGAGATAAATAAGTACTAGAATATCAGCATGTAACTGTGGAATGGTAGCATTAAATACGACCTGGAACCAAAGGCGAATTAGAAAGAGAAAAGATAAATAATTCATAGAGCATCAGCAGGAAACAGATCATATGGTAGCTTAGTAAAACATTGTCAGCTTAGTAAAACATTGTCAAAGAAACAAGACAGAACAATCAGTGAAAGACTGTCATAAGAAAAAGAATACAAGTAAAATTGTGTTTTTTCTGGAATGTTACTCTTGTTTACAGCTCTGCTTGAATAAGAATTTCAATTATTATACAATTGCAAATACGGCAACAAGAAACATGTATATAGTCGAGGAAAAGTTAAAAGTCGTAGTTAGGAGCAGCACTTTCCACCAAAACCATCAGTCTTCCAAGAGTTATAATTTCATCATTTAGTATTAATGACTAGGCCAATCAAAAAAAGTTGGAATGCTGTTTATGAGAACAGTGTTCAATTTATTGACAAAATATAGATTGAAAATACCAAAAATATTCTTATACTGAAATTAGGACAGCCCTATTTCATCGTGAAAGTTTCATTGTGAAGAGGATGGTTACGGCCATCTGCTAGCCTTCTGCCTCTCTTTCCATATAAAATTCTTAGCTAACCACACATCCATAGTCAATGAATGAAAGCATATAAATGTGAGACATCAGTGATTTTCCAGGAGTTCTACATCATAATCTATGCATTTTATGATGCCAATGGAACAAGCTCAGCACACTGCAATAACTACAAGGGGGAAACACTTCGAGCTTACTAGATATTAATGGAACATTCATTATACAGAAAAGAGAAAAATGTAAATCAGGTGACAACATATTCCTACATTTAAAGTAGAAAAGCAGCCAAATTAATGCTTTCAAAATATTTTAGTTCGTCAAAACCCAAAAAAAAAAAAATTTATTTATTTCTTTTTTTCAAAATGCAACAATAGTCTAAAAGGCATTACTGATACAATCTTATTAACAAAAGGACAGACATTACATTCAAAGTATTTACGTGAAATAAAACTAATATAAAAAAATCCACCAACCTTGGCTATGCCTTCAATTTGATCTAGCAAAGATATGATATGCCGTAAAGTAACAGATCGATACCATAATTGATGTAACTGCTTATTACGTGCTCCAATAAGTTTTTTTGCCTCTGCTAAATCAACCTTCAAGGCCCCAATATCTTGAGTAGATTCACTAAATAACCGCAAAATCTGAAGGAAATAAAAGATTAACAATAACAAAATGAAGCAGATGGTTGAACTGATTTCTACATAAGAAAACAGAACAAATGATTCTTTAAACTTTGAATAAGCCAGTTCCCCAAAAAAATAAAAATAAAATCTCAAGGAAATTCATTTGTATCCATCCAAGGCTGTTATTTCAGAATTTTGCAAAATGCTGATTATTTTTAGTCACAAAGCTATTTCCAAATCCCGAACGGGAAAAACAAAACATATATCAGACAGAATTTAACAACACTAGATTGACTTATGATCTTGCAATTGCCTAAATATTGTAACTAAAGTGATTGAGCTTGACTATGATCACCTTACAATTTATTCCTACTTAATTTGACTAACAGGCCTCTTCTTGAAAAATTATCATTGCTTCAAAAGTTAACTAAAGTTGCCAGTAGTTCAAGCATCCCTCTATTGTCAGCAATATTTGTAGCCATTTTCGGTCAAAAATAATCAATAGGCAAAGGAATAATCAGACAACAATAAGGCAAGAGATGAGCAAAAAATTACATATGCTTAACCGTCCGAATGTGATGTTTTCAAGAAAACCTATTTTCCTCTTTTAATAGTAAGGCAGAAGATTCCAGGTATATAACTCAACAAGACTCACAAGGTTCTTCCAAATTTTGAATGAGTCAGACATTTGTAAATTGTAACTCACTCAAACAGATAAAACCAAATGCTAGACCATAGTGGTGTCGTACCATATCTGAGGTGGATCAAATTGCATTTCAGCTCTCTTCTTTGTACAAGTAAAAATGAATATAAGATAAAATAATATTGCAATCTCTCCTAAAGTCCCAGAATAGAAATGCTTCAAAAGGAAAGAAAAAAGGAAAAAAAAAATGTCCTCTTAAAGACTTAAGTGGCTTTACATTTCAAGTGTTGTTTATAATGCACAAACTCGATTAGTTGGCCAATTGACAAGTGATTTTATTTAGAAAATTATTTCCCTGAAGAATACCAATCGTGAAGAGAGCTCTTGAAAAAGTCTCAGTCTTCCCTCAATGTATAGGTAACCCATCCACAAGTCAGTAACACGTGCCAAGATAAGTAAGAGTATCTCCAGAATATGCAAACTATTCCTAATCACGTGCTCAGATCCATGAAGAAAAATTTCTTTGTCAGATATACGATGCTTTCCAGAAGGGAACCAAAAGGATGAACTACTATGAAACCTGAGAATAATTTTGAATTGCTTTGTTGAAGCCACCATGATAGGCATGAACTACTTCATCAACAACTTCCTCGATAATATCACTCTGCTCCTTTAAGATCTGCACATCTCCTTCACGATCTTTCGATGTCAAAATATGGACAACATGCGGTAAAGAATCAAAGCGCGCAGCAGCCCAATTTTCATCTATTTTGGAAAGCTCTTCCCTTAAATACTGCAATTATGACAAAGCGCAATTAGAAGCATATTCTTTACAATAACAGTAACCCAACTTTCACGATAAAAAGGACATATATGCTTAAGAGTAATTCCTATAAAGTTAATAACAAGTGGGAATACATCGCTATTATCAGGGTAGACTAACCAGGAACCACAGAAATAAAACACATACTTCCAAAATTTCGAAAATAATATAAAAGGATTTATGCCCAAATAAGTTTAAAAAAATAAATTTTAGATAAGAAATTCACTCTGTACAGGCAGCCGACTACCCAAAACTCAGTCGTCCATTTCTAGCCTATCTCCGCACGTTTTGAACATTCTATGGCACTCCCACAGCCACAACCCAATTGATGAGACAATTAACCAAAAAAAGAAACCAACGATCCTACGATCAGAACAAAAATTTGGCAGTCTTCACCAAGTCCTTCATCCACAACAAAGTCCCCCTTCACCCTAAACTTAATCTACATGAACTAGTGCAAAATCAATCTGAGTTGTCATTCGAGCTCAACTCATGAATAAAAATGCTAACCTAGAAAGAAGAAAACTCCACTGATCTTGACTTATTTGTTATTCATCTTCCCAACAAAAGACTATACCAAAAGAACTAGACAATTTCAGGTCATTACTGTCTTATTCAGGTTCTCTTAAGATCAATTAAGAGACTAATTCACCAAAAATTGGGCTTCAGTTCAGAGCTCAATATTCAAGCTAAGCTCAAGCCAACTTATCACCTTGACTTGTTCACAGCAAAAAAGCAGCATGTGAATAGCTCTGTAATTCTGTATTCCTCTCAGTCTCTTCACTCAATACACACAAACGGGAGGGAATCAGAATTCATGACTTTTCAATTCAATATTCCAGACTATTGACTATAGAGATGTCACCTACAGTAAGATCTTATGTATGCAACTAATAGTAACTGCACTAATTGTTGGTTCACTCTAATTTCATTTCAAGACAGCTATAGAGAAGATCCTGGAAACTGACAAACAATGGCGGAAATTGCCAAGCTCAACTTGCGTGTCTTGTTTTAGAGGACTAGATTTACAGCAGAACAAAAAAAGCCTTGTAGATGACTCACATTAGGAGCTTGATCAAGATCAACAAAGGATATTAAAGCAAAATCCAACCCTTCGCTGGAAGCTCAATTTACTCGTTAGAAGTTTAAATTGATTAAACAGCATTATGTCCCCCAACATGTTAATTACATCATAACTTTCACTAAAGCACAAAGCAGATTAAATAAATTTACGAAAAGTACAGCCAAGCTCAGCTTGGATGCATTTCTTTAGACACTACATTAATTAGAACACATGCGCTGAGCTTAAGTTATCGAGCCTTGTGAATAACTTGCATCAGGGGACTCGTTTCAGATTAGGCCGAGATAGAAAACAGAATTTCTCCCAAGCTATAGATAGATACCGATTCCCAATTTAAATCAAGTAAAGAACGTTAGGAAACTATCTTACCCAGCATATGAATGTACCTACAACTTGGCACTTGCCTTATATCAAGCTCCGACCGTTAATTTGGACCCAAAAATTCAAAACCAAATTAAAACGCTTAAATATAACAAGAATTCAACACCAACCCACATTTAGCCATGAACCTCATTGCACATTCGATATATATCTACTCTTTTAATCAATTTCCGTACTTCTGTTTATAGAAACAATGAAACACATGAAACAAGAGTTGAATGGTAACAAAAAATAAAGAACTCACCGATTTATCTCGGGAAATGGGAAGTCCGTCAAAGATTCCCATCTCTATCCTTCAGCTTATTCGCAAGTCCTATACAAACACAATTAAGTAAATGAATGGGGAAAAGATTGGGCTGTCAAAATTTAATTGTTGGAGTTAGAATCATATTAGAATAATAAATAGGATTGCAAATATTGATACATATTTGTGTATATATACATTCGATTATGAGAGATAACGAGCTTACTTGATCTGTCCGGCACTGAATTTAACAAACCGGATCGGAACACTTATTTTATGATTGAATTAATTTGTGATTTATTTTGGGGGAATTTTAAATTATTTTTTTTGCTTCTAATTAACGATTTGAGAGAGAAAAAGAAGCCGTGAGCTGGAAATGAGGAACGAAATGGACTCCGACGAAATAAGAATTACAGAATGGTCAATTTTGCGAAATTAGAATTCAACACCAACCCACATTTAGCCATGAACCTCATTGCACATTCGATATATATCTACTCTTTTAATCAATTTCCGTACTTTTGTTTATAGAAACAATGAAACACGTGAAACAAGAGTTGAATGGTAACAAAAAATAAAGAACTCACCGATTTATCTCGGGAAATGGGAAGTCCGTCAAAGATTCCCATCTCTATCCTTCTGCTTATTCACCAGTCCTATACAAACACAATTAAGTAAATGAATGGGGAAAAAATTGGGCTATCAAAATTTAATTGTTGGAGTTAGAATTATATTAGAATAATAAATAGGATTGCAAATATTGATACATATTGGTGTATATATACATGCGATTATGAGGGATAACGAGCTTACTTGATCTGTCCGGCACTGAGTTTAACAAACCGGATCGGAACACTTATTTTATGATTGAATTAATTTGTGATTTATTTTGGGGGAATTTTAAATTTTTTTTTTTTTTTGCTTCTAATTAACGATTTGAGGGAGAAAAAGAAGCCGTGAGCTGGAAATGAGGAACGAGATGGACTCCTACGAAATAAGAATTACAGAATGGTCAATTTTGCGAAATAGTGCATTAATGGGTTGTACATTCTGCATGTATGAGCTCTTTTTATTTTTCTACGATTTTTTTGTACGATTCGAGGATCAATTGGAGAGAGAACATGAACGTGTAGTACTTTATGCACGTAAGAGAGTGCGATATTGGAATTTTTTGGAATACATTTTATAATTTTTAAGAGGGAAGAACAAATTTTATCGAGCAAAAAGAGTGTTAAAATAAAGAAATAAGGATACAAGTAAGGGTGGACAAAATGTCCAGACCAAACCAAATCAAACGGTTTGGTTCGATTTTAATAAAAAAAAAATTAATAGTTTTGATTCTGGTTCAGTTCTAGTTCAAAAATCAGAACAAAACTTAATATTTAATTTTATATATAATAATTAGTGGATACCCTAACTTAATATTCATTGGAGATAACCCATTAATTGAATATAGTTTATTAATTAATTTTGAATCATTAGAGAAAAAAAATTATTAGTTGTCTACACCCTAATTTTATATTCAGTTGAATTATTTCTCCTCCGCTCTTTTTTAATTTACACAACGTCGCAGCATACTGGTATCGCATTTAATCAAGTCAATGGATTGTCATTTAAAATCAGAAAATAAAATTTGTTAGTTACTCAAAAAGTCTTTAAACTCTTTTTTTACCTGGATTGTTTGATGAGTTATTTGTATTCTTTAGAAATAGAGGAAAACCCAATAAACATTCAAGAAATATTAAACGGTTAATGTTGCATGTAGAAGTGGACTGTAAAAATTTTGATAATTCATTGTTTATTGTAAAGGTGTGCATTCAAAACTACTGCAATTAATTTAATGAATCATTGCTATTACTTATTAAACAATTTTTTGTATAAAAACGAAAACTTATTGGTGTATTCAAATTATGAATATATTTTGTTTGTTAATTATGACTTTTTTTATCTCAATTATTGAAATTTGAACTTCCTAAATGTTTGATGTTTATTTTCTTATTTAGGTATACATTATTAATTTATATAATGCAAATCTAAAAATTTAAGAAATGAAATTAGAACTATGGTTTGGTTCGGTTCTCATGGAACCATGTCCACCCCTAGATACAAGTGAAAGAAAAGTTCGAAGTAGAAAAATAGTGAACAATTTCTTTAAAATTTTAAGATAAAGACTTCATTAGGCAAATTTATACAGAAAAATGGTAGTAAATCATACAAAATGTATAAATAGGTGAAATTAATATTTGACTTTGATTGATATAAACCATTTATAAATTGGTATCTATAAGGGGGCTAAATTGGTAGATATAAGGAGGCTAAATCATAGAAGTTGAAAATTAATTTTCAAATTGAAAATGTTGATAAATAGGACTGCAAGATGCCACACCATAAGCAACATTGTAAGCACGGATGTACAATTTGACTGGAGGTCAAGAAATAGTGGACTCATGGTCGGCAAAAGGCCTATCATGTACCACCACTAAAGTTGCCATATCGGGACGACAATGGAGTGGGATTGGAGACTACCCTCCTATTCCAGTCCTGTATATGGATTTTTTGGAAATTAGGGTATACTGAAATTTAAAATATTCATTTTTAGGGGTCGTTTTACGTATTTATTATTTAATTTTAAAATTTAACTTAAATTATAAAACATAAAATAGGTAAGAGAAAGATTATAGGAAGGTCAAGTTTGGAGTAAAATCATGTTCACCATCTCGCCAAGTTCCCAATGCGATGGGGCAACGCATGGCAAGATTGAGCAAGGTGCCATCTCCATTGCCATGTGTCGAACCATTATCCATGGACATCACATTAACAAGTATATCAAATCGTGCAATTTCGACATATAAAAAAACCTTCGAGTACCAAACCAAAACTCAACCCTTTGTCCTTTCACTTTATCATTTATTCATGTTTATAAGTGTATTTTATGCATTTATTCGAAATTTTAAATAATTGAAAATTTTCATTTTTTTTATGAAACATAGCTTAATTTGTGTTACATCGTGTATAATTGATAAAACTCATGATTTGATGAAAAATTGACAGAAATAGATAAAAATGTTCGATCAAAACTTTGGGGACTAAAATGCAATAATTAAAAGTTGTGTCAGATTGCAAGATGGTGATTCAAGAGTGCCAAATGTCAATTGGAGTTGAAGAGAAGTCAATAGGATGAAATATTGTAAAAAAAATTATCAAAATGCACACGTTAAAAAATTTAGGGACCAAAAAATTTGTACTTGCGTACGCAAGGTTACAAAAAGCATTATCGGCGGGCAAATTTCGTGTATTTTGCTCACGCACCAAATGATCCATGCTCAAGTATGGTTCAATTTCGGGAAATTTTTGTGTTTCCTTATTTTAATGAGGAAACTTTTGGTATGCAAGCTTTTGACGCTCTATGTATACCATAAGCTGTCCAGAACGTGAGGAACCTTTCTAGATCTAAAAATCCATAGAGTCTAATCAATTTTGAAGGAGAAGAATGTGGCTAACAGTATGAAATCAAGGTGAATAGCATAGAATATTGAAGATTATTCATCCGGATTCAAAATTCACATTAAGAACGTGGGAAATTCCAATTTTTTTCATTATTTCTTTTTTTTTTTCAGGGGATAATTTTTCAATCGTTCTTTTGTAATTTAATTATAAACATGTTAGGCTATTTTTGCAATTGTATTGGATGATTGAGGAACAATATTCTTGTTTATTTTGATTTAAGATTTTAATTCAGATATTTTCAACTATTTTTTTTTTTTGTTTTTACATTTTCATTGCACTATTTGATTGTTTGGTCATCAATTGAATATTTAATTACTTATTTTAGTGTATGAATACTCAAAATAAGTTTAGAACACGGTAAAATTAATACATGAACAATATGTATTATGAATAATATATATATAGCATGTGCAATCACGTAGATAACATGAACTAAATACATGATTTTCAGATAAATTCGGACTAGTAATAAGATCGAGTTGTGTTAATTATATATTGGTGTATCTGGAAAAGAGCATCTAACATGTTAACATTATTGGTTGTAAAAAATACATGAAATTAATTAGATTATTAATTGATAATTGAAATAGATTAAAGTAGAAAGAATCACGAATCCAATACAAACATTCACATTCGATAAAACCAAAACTTACTTGCTTTATTAGTATATATTAGAAATAGTATAAACAACTACGAAATCACTCTTTTGATGTCGCTACTTACTCGAATTTAATACCAACTAATGAACTATATTTTAAATATTATTCCTCGTGGGAACAATAAACTTGAAACTTACTATTTTCTATTACTTATACAACGATCACGTACGCTTACGAGATAATGTAACAAGTTTTTGACGATATTGTTGGGGAATAATAGATTTAATTTTAGTTTAGTAGTTTATATTGAGTTAGATTATTATTATTATTATTATTATTATTATTATTATTATGTTCTTTTTAGGCTTTAATTGAAATACTTGATATATTCTTGTTTTACACTACAAAGACCTCTATCGATTTATACAAGTTCCTGACGCTATCGAGATCCTTCCTATAGATCCTGAGATTAAAATGACCTTCAAGCACCGACGAAGAGAATAGAAAATAGCAAAGGTAATGGTTGAGAATCAAAGTTAGATTTCAAGATGAACTTCAACAAATAGCACTTCTAGTTCAGCAAGCACCTCCAGTTAAAGCCTATATTAGTAGGAGATTATGTGAATCCTATACCCACAGCAGTGTAATCGATAATTATCTACCCACCATTCGGACAAGCCAACTTCTACATCTGGCTAGAACCTCTTACAGAATCATCAAGACATTATGTTTTGTGGGAAAGTCACGGAGAATTCATATGACACATACATACTTTTCTCATGTTGTACGATATAATCAGCCGTATGTATTCACTACCTCCCGGAAGCACTATATTGTGGAAAAACATGGTACAAAAATTTTTCGTGGAATTCTTCCCGCCATCTCAAGCCCATCAAATCAAAAGGGAAGTATATATTTTCAGACAAAGAGACTTTGAGATATATCCGGAAGCATGGGACACGTTTAAGAGCGCATTTAGGAAATGTCTAAATCTTGACGTTCCTAAATTGGTGCAAAAATCTTTCTTCTACAGTGGATTGTGCTCAAAATTTCATAACATTGTAGACGTTTTAGCGGGCAGATCAATTTTGATGATTGAGATAGATGAAGCCCATACTATTTGAGAGGATAACTAAGAATCAGGCCAATTGGCCAACAAACAGGGAAGCTCTAAGAAGACGGCTGGGATGCATAATGTGGATGCAACAACAGTTTTAACAGTATGAATAGAAGTAATAACAAAGAAGCTTGACAATTTAACTCAATCTGTGCACATGGTACATCATTAGCTCTGGTGTGC